GGAGGAACTGGAACCATTTTTGTCATTCTCTTCTCGGATGGCCGCACTTGACTTCGTTGTGTGTGATGAGAGTGACGTATTTGTTACCAACAACAATGGTAACATGGCCAAAATATTAGCTGGAAGAAGGTAAGAGTCCTTATCCGTGCTCCGTGTCCGTATACATCTAGCTGCGGACTAACTTTTCTAGCATTTATTATGCATTTCAGGAGATATTTTGGGCATAAACCTACCATCCGTCCTAATGCTAAAAAACTATATCCATTGTTCTCAAACAGAAGTAACATGACATGGGAATCATTTGCCTCTAAAGTTCGTACTTACCAGAAAGGCTTCATGGGGGAGCCAAATGAAGTGAGGCCTGGCAGGGGTGAGTTTCATGAGAACCCATCTGTCTGCATTTGTGGAGATTCAGAGGCAAAGGCAAAGGATAATGCAAGACATAGAAAACATGGGAAAGGGAATGATGCAACAGAGAAAGATGTTATGATAAGTGATGATCAAAATGATGACAATGATGATGACAGTGATGTTAATGATGACAACACCGACGGGCCAGAATGGGCTGATCCAGACGATGATGAGAGTCATTTTGGCTCTCTAGAGAAGGGCCTGTATAATGGAACAGGTTTGGATAACGATATGGTCACCCCTGATGAAACTGAGTTGGAAGAGATACTTTCAGACTAAACAGATAGTCACTTGATACTTCTTGGAGCTGTTGGCAGCACTTGACTGGTATTTTTGTAGAATGCCTCGCCCTTTGTCCTCCACTTAAGAAATGCAGGCCTTGAAAGCTGCTAAATGTCAAGCTGTATATAGAATGGAAGTAAAATGAAGCAGATTTTCCCAAAGAAACATTGTAATATTCAAAGTTCATGCACTTCCAACACATACAGAAACTGTGTCATGGCATTGGGTTTAAGTTGGAAGTTCCAGTTATCAAAGATAAATGGTAAGATGATGTTGGAACCCATGCTTTCAAAGAGTTCTGCGGGATAGGCCACAATATCTCACTAAATTATTTGTTGGATTGCTTAACAGTAATGTTGTTCTTCAATCATCTCCAGGAATGTAAGAGGTTAAATATTAATTAGCAAAAAAGGCTTCTATAGCAGTGTTGCAGAATTCGCGATTGGATGGCCGGAAAATCGCGAGTAGATTGGGATGCGGCTGGGTACCGTACCGACTTGATCGCAACTAGCCGTGTTTTTATGGCCAGCTTGAAGATCTGTCCGAGGGACCATCGGGGAACACAAGGCCATTTTTTGTCAATTTAGTTTCGTCCAGTGAAACGATGTCGTTTCAATGATCAGCAGCCATTCAAAAACAAACGACACCGCGATTTAAAAAAAAAAAATAATAATCTAAACTTATCCTATTAAAAAAATACATATTAGTTTCAATTTGTAAGTAGTGGATTCAAGAGCGTACGAGAGGTGTAAGATTGTAAGTTACGGATAAATTTTTAAGGAATTTATTGGCTAGAAAACAAAAATCAAAGCAGAATTTGATAGTGTTTACACCCACACCAAAAATATTCGGGAGTAGAGGAATATAAAATTAGACACAGCCCCATCAAAATAAGATATTTATTAATAACAAATTTTCACAACAGTAATTAAATTTTTGTCAGGCATCACTGGTAAATACATACAAATTTGTTTCGTTTGATGTGATATAATTATTGTAAGGAATTGTTGTTACCAAACCTTGTCAAAGCTCAATACACAAAATATGAAGACAAGGGAATGAAAGAATGAATAAAATTGGAAGAAGTAAGTCACAATTTTCGACTAAAAAAAGTTCCAAACAATGTGACTAATATCTAATATAAAAATGGTGCCTGAAAGCACCTCTTCAACGTGAAGTGAGGCACAGCTCAGGTAGGTTTATCTGGTTTATCTGCTTGAGGTGGTGATGACCCAAAATCAACATCATGATAGAAGCCTGGAGGCCTCTCACGAGGCTCAATTGATAGCAACTGGCTTGAATCCCCCACGACATCTGCCCATCCATAATGAGGCTCAGCCCTGCATCAGAAGTAAAAACTTTGTCAATGTACGTTGCTCAATCATCATTTATCCACAATAACATCTCTCTCTCGGATCTTCACATACTTCTGGATTCTGATATTCACAAGTTATGCTTATGCAAGTACGGTAATATAAATTCCATAAAATTATATCCTTACTCATAATAGGTTTCCTCGTCAACAACAATATCCCAACTTTCACCTGTCGTGCTCCTCCCATATTTGTGAACTTTACTGGTAAAGGGACCAGGAGCATTAGTCTCAGGGTAGCAAGCAAATGACTTTAAATTATTCACAAGATTTATTTATTAATCAGAACACAATAAAATACAGAAAGGGCAGGATGAACCTATTGAAACTGCTAATCTTTGATGGAAACCCATCAAATACAATATTCCTTACCCGTTTCCAAAGTGTTCCTCTCCCCATGTCCTTGACCACCCTATAAGACAAACAACATTGTAGTTTAAAAGAAAATATCATGGTCAGCAAACATGTATGCCTAAAGTTTTAGTAGGAGTAGTAGATTGCCTCCGTATCTCATAATTTTAAAAGAAAATCAATATCAATTCACCTAGGTTATCCTCTGCTAAACTTTTGTCCTAATTTATGTTGTGCTGATTATGACAAATAGCACATAACTGTTTCACTTAAAGAGGAAACAAACATGAACAAACTTTTTTCCTAATTTAAATGTTCTTTAATTAAAAAGGAAGAAAGAAAAGCATAAATCTTGACTAAAGAAACCCAATGGGACTTACCACATCTATGGACTAATTGGTAATTGAGAGTCTAATAGCAAATAACTACATAGTGCATAGAAAGCTTTTTATTATTATTAATTAAAAATAAAAATAAATAAATAAATAAGTAACCCAAACCTACTTAGAATGTCCTACATTTCAAGGCAACATAATCAAATGAGTGGAGACATACGTTCACCGCCAGAAGATACATGCCATGTCTCCCCTTGACGTGAACCAATCCCAGCAAAGAACTTCTCCTCCCACTTGTCTCCCCATTTGGTTCCCAATTCAGTCTCAGCCCATTTATCTGTCCTGAGAAGTAAAAAGAATTAAATTAATGCAACTCTAAGAGGCATCTTATTGGTTAAGAAAGTCTAAGTAGTAAAACATAAAACTAGAGGTCTATGCTTTAGTTTGGGAAATTTCTGTATTCAAGACAAAACAAAGTCTTCTAGCTTATATGGTACCTTCATTGTAATTGTTGTGAGTACAATATACAAAATGTGATTTTCAGACAACTAAAATAAGATATTCCCTAATATAAAAAGTGGTAAATTTTGCAGAATTCAAACCCAAGCATAACAAAGCAAAAAAGGTGATTCGAGATAACCATTTGACAACAGATCCTCCATCATAATGTTCTCCCCACTTCTCCCACCATGACTGTTCATTGAGCCTACCATACTTATGTGCCCCTTTTTCTGTCCAGCCTTTACCATCATATTTCTCCCACCTAAGTTCAAAATAAGCTCATCATAAATATAGAGCAGATACTTTGCCATCACTCAAAA